GTATGGTAGTAAAAAACTGCTTCCAATATCGCCCACATAGCTTTACTGATACGCATTTACAATTAAATAACCCAATTTACTGATTCTGCCAATCCAGAGTTTAATTGAATAGTTTCTAATTGGGAAGAATGGAATCAAACAGCACAATACATCTAATCATCATCTACTGATAGTAGAAATGATTAGATTATGAACAATTTGCAGAACTTTATTCTGTTATCGTAATGAAAACTGGAAATAGGAAAAATAACAACAGTAGATTAACTGGAAAGTAAAGTGATTGATGGCGCGTTATGAGTCACGTGGTCTAAATCACGTGATTTAATCATAAAATCAATTCTTTCCGGCTGCACTGTAGACTGGTAGATGGAATTTAAAGTTAACATCTTTTATGCATGTACATACATGCAGTTTAGAAACAGCAAAGTTTATTGTCTAAGTTTGGCGTTTGAACTTTGGCAGCGCGTGAATGCGTCAAAGATCCGTCCCTATCATTCGTTAACAAGGTCACCGTAGAAATCAATTTTTAAAATGAATTTGATAAAACCATCGGACATTATTTAATTGATTATCTAAATTAAAAATATTCTTTATATTAATTTATTTCAGAAAAACCCATAAAGTTCGCCAAAGGAGAAGAATTCTGTAAGACTCGTCTTTTGTTCTTATCCTTTTTTACATGATGTACAAAACTGTTTTGTTTGTTGATCACTTGTATGTACATAAAATATGTATACTGTTAGGAATAGATAGGTTAAACAAAATAAAAAACCTGTTTTCTATCGATCACCCAGAAGAGCGACCGTTAGAACATAATATATGATACGTGACGACTATGTGTATCGTTCACAGTTTCACATTTCTGTACTTATTTTATTCGTCACGTATTTTCAAACGATATTATCCATGTACTGACCTTTTTTGGAGAGGGACTTAAAATGGTAGTAAAATGGGGTTATTCTTATAACTGGGGCCCGAAAAAAGATTCATTTAATTGCCAGATTAATAAATAGAAATACGCAACAGAACTAATATCCTGACCCTCGGGTCCGTTTCCTAGAGTTTACCAGTACTGGTATTGTATGAGCAAACCCGGTTTGACTAAAGTAGGGCTTGAACCGACCATCATTGGGCTGATAGACAGGTTCTTTAACCATAAGGTCACTGCTATCCTTATTAAATATGAGGGTTATAAATATTAGATATGTTGACAAGGTGGACACGCTGTCTATACTTACGCATAGGGGAATACGATATGCCTCGATGTAATCCAAGCAATAACAAAAACAATAAATACACAGTCGGTTGTTCTCTTCCACTTTAAATAATTTACCATCTTTGTAAGCTAATAAAATAGAAGAAAAACAGAAAATATTAAATTGGCCCTACACAATATCCAATAAAATTGCAAATATATATTTGAACTTTTACTGAAAATCTTGAACAAATGTTGTATATTGGTCTTTAATACTTAACATGCTAAATATCTTAAATATTGAATTAAATTCTGTCCAATATTTCAATCTGAACAAAACAGTTAGTCACGGTTAGGAAAATTTCAAAATATGTACCTGTACGGACTGAATAGTGAACAGTGCAGACCATGATAAGACAGCACTGATGAGTCGGTTGATTCTGGTCTGCACTGGTCGCATGGTTAGTTTCAGTCGCCGGTTTATAAAGTTAAATATTATACCTCATTTGCATACGCCCTTCTATATTTGATATGACGTCATCCGGTCCATAAACCGCATACAGACCGGGGGCGGTCCATAATTCTTATATGGACTGGATGACGTCATATTAAATCTTAAAGTTCGGGTTTTTTTGCCTGTTTAATTTGATTAACAAAAATTGAATAACAAAAGAAGAGCATGATTTTTTTTTGCTGTATCGCTTGAAAATAATAATAATAATTCCGACTAGGGTTTGAAATATTTCACACACTGAACAAATAAATTATTATTTGAAAGTAAATTATAGTAAAAATGTCAGCAACAAAAGGGATGAAAGGATTTAGATTCGGTATAATATAACAAATAAAACATGGCCTTTCGGGCAAAATGCAAGTTTACGGACTGGTTGGTTAGACCTCGGAAGGTATATGTCCCTCAGCTGCGCTTCGGGCCATATACCTTCCTCAGTCTGACCAATCAGTCCGTAAACTTGCATATTGCCCTCAAGGCCATGTATTATTTGTTAATTAAAGTGTTTCAGGACAAAAGTTGTTTTTGTTACTGAAATGCTAGACTTTTACGAGTGATGTTCAATATATATTAAAATAGTCTTGTATTTATGTATATTTATGAAACTACACCAACAGAAAGTACAAAACTATACATTTTTTACTCCAAATAATAATAATGTAGTCATAACGTACGTCAAATAATAATAATGACGTCATGACGTATGCCAAATGATAATTATTTAACAAATAATACATGGCCTTGAGGGCAATATGCAAGTTTACGGACTGGTTGGTCAGACTGAGGAAGGTATATGGCCCGAAGCGCAGCTGAGGGACATATACCTTCCGAGGTCTGACCAACCAGTCCGTAAACTTGCATTTTGCCCGAAAGGCCATGTTTTATTTGTTATATTATACCGAATCTAAATCCTTTCATCCCTACTGTTGCTGACATTTTTACTATAATTTACTTTCAAATAATAATTTATTTGTTCAGTGTGTGAAATATTTCAAACCCTAGTCGGAATTATTATCATTATTTTCAAGCGATACAGCAAAAAAAAAGCATGCTCTTCTTTTGTTAATCAAATTAAACAAAAGGCAAAAAACGAACTTTAAGATTTAATATGACGTCATCCAGTCCATATAAGAATTATGGACCGCCCCCGGTCTGTATGCGGTTTATGGACCGGATGACGTCATATAAATATAGAAGGGCGTATGCAAATGAGGTATAATATAACGCCATGACGTACGTCAAAAAATAATAATGAAGGCATAACGGAAGTCAAATAAAAAAAATTACGCAATTATGTAAGTCAAATAATAATGATGATGTCATTACGTATGTCGAATAATAATAATGATGTCATAATGTACGCCAAATAATAATATTGAAGTCATCAAGTACGTCAAATAACAATAATGACATCATGACGTACGCCAGATGATAATATTGAAGTCATAACATACGTCAAATAGAAATAATGACGTCATGACGTACACCAAACAATAATAATGACGTCATAACATATGTTTTGTAATAATAATAGAGTCATAAAGTACGTCAAACGATCTTTTTTCATTTTGTTAATGGCTAAGACTTTGCACTTCGTATAAAATTATAAAATGTTAATGATGTGTATGACGAACGAACATAATACCTCGAGTAATGGGTCTGCAACATCGTGCACGATAAGCACGAGTGTTCCAATTCGTACAAAATTGACCATCCACGAGAAATTCATCAAAACAATAGTGGCAATGTGATGTATAAACATCTGGTAAAAATCCTGAAAACACAGAAAAAATACAATCACACTCATTCACCATATTTTTGTACAAAATAATTTAACATTTATACATTCCATATAAAATCACTACATCGAAATATTTTTTGACGGATATTCAAATTCGCTGTAAAGAGTATAAAGCTATATAATTATCTAATTTCTAAAACTTTTTTGTTTTCAGGCACGCTTTTAAAATAAACAGTCATGTTCCGCTTACAAGATCACACAAAACAGCGATCTAATCAGTTATTTTTGCAGCGTTCCATCATTGGTGCATATTTCAGACTTCCATTCTGTTGTTATTTGTTTATGTATTTATTGATTTATTTAATTTAATTTTATTTTATTTATTAATTTATTTATTTATTTTTATATATTTATTTTCTTATTATTTATTTTAATAATTGAAATTTGCACTATTTTGACATTCGCATCTTCTCGGCTCTTTCGTTGAGATAAAAGCCGAGATGATCCGATTTGTTATTTCGCGGAAGTTTATCATATTAACGGAAATATTACTTACTGCTCTCTTTGGGTCATAAATGAGTGTAAATATCAGGCTCCAGTAGAATGCAAGTTCTATCATATAATACCAGTATACATCGTTGGTGACGTTCTGTAATGTATAACAAATAAGTGATCTTACTGAACACATGTTTGATATTTCTAAAGAATAGGGAAAAAATGGATTTCTGAAGCACAATGGGCCTTTAATTATATATACGTTTATGTTTTTTTGTAAGGCAGCACAAAATTTTATCCGATGCATCACAACGTCTAATTACTTTCGACTACAGCAGGTCATAATAAAGTATCAGGTTTCTATAAGGTATTGAGGATTGTTTTGAATTATGATTAATTATTTTGATATATGATAGATGAATGTCATCCTCTTCTCTTTCTAATGACCTTCTCAGATATTATTAAACTTATAAATCAGAATACATAGTTTTCCCTGACACAGGCAGACAGTTATTCATATTTTAATTATTTCAAAAACCATATAATATAGTTTACCGATATTTGCATGTTTTAAATAACAAGTAGGCAGTCCGTAACTTATAATGTTTTTACCCTGATGGAATAGTCTTTGCCACCAGTATAGACCCCGGCCAGCATGCACACCCGTTTAGTCTGACCAGGCTCTTACTGTTCGCTTACGAATTTTTATCTTGCTACCCACAAAACTGATAATTAACTGTTCTAAAAATGGAAACAGGATAAGTCCATTTTAAGGAACTCCACTAAGGTACAAAAGCCTAAAAACATAAAAATTCAATTTCTTACATAGATCAGCTGGGGGAACTTAAAACGGAAAGATATTCAAATAGAGTTTAAAGAAATATACTCAGATATAAGTTGAAAAAATACTTTCTATTTTAGCCTTATTGGGTAAAAAGCTTACAACGCATTTCAATTTTGGGTCATTTTGCACAGCTAGCATAATTATTCTGAAAAAAAAAAAAACGGAGTGAGCTAATGATCTGAAATTTTGCGTACAAGTTATTGGTCTATACCTACATAAAACAGAACATTAATCTTGAAAAAGATATTTCCAGTCTGGTCATGTAAAAAAACCACCTCGGTTGAGTCCCTTTAAAGCATATTCAGCAGTTTTAATATATAAAAAAGAAGGGGAATAGAATATTAGGACATTACATGATATATGACCGCACATGTATAAGCAACGAATCAGCAGCATAAATAAAATCGCCTGATAATCAATAGGAACTGGCGTCCATTTCGCTCGTTCCACTGTTTTGGGATTATTTTATTGTGACAGACCGAGATAAACCAGATATACCGCAGCAGACGTCAAAATACGACTCCGCGAATGGAGTAGTCCACTTTTATTATAAGGTTCTATATATATTGTGTAAGTTTTGCAGTTTTACATGTAAGCGAGATATTCCATGTTTGGATATTTCCTATACACCTACACTTGCTACATGAGCTTACCAATATCTCAAAACTTAAGTCGAACTCCGAATATTAAGAATGTCACGTCAGGGGAGATAAAACTTGAAATGTTGTTTTTATTTTTTTAGCAAAACAACTACTAAAAACATATACGTACTTTTTTTCAAAATAATATGATACCTAAAATTGAATTATGCTCACCTGTAACGGCCATCCCACCCAGCAGTCTATAGTTTTACTGAACCATGGTTTCTAAAGCCAGAAAATAAATAATTTATTTTCTTTAAAAAAATTTAAAATTATACATCAGCATCATCATCATACATCATAATCAATAACAACACCAACAACAAGAAGTCTAACGTCTTCATCATCAAAAACAATATCCTCATTACCATTTTCATAATCATCATCACCGTCATCATCGTCCTAATTATCATTATCATCATCATCATCGCTAAAATTATCATCGGCATCATTATCATTATCATCATCAACATCATTACGATCATTATCAATACCATCGTTATCATCATCATCATCATCATCGACAACACCATATTATCATCATCATCATCACCATTATCATCATCTATACCATCATCAGTATAATTATTATCATCAACATCATCATCATTACGATCATTATCAATACCATCGTTATCATCATCATCATCGACAACACCATATTATCATCATCATCATCATCATCATCTATACCATCATCAGTATAATTATCATCAACAATATCATCATCATTGGCATCATCATAATCTTTTATTTTCTTTTTTTGGAACATCTAGAAAAATTCATTTTTAGCCATAACTGAAGGTTGGCCGACAATTTAACCTATGTTTGATATTTTCACTTCAATATTCAAACGAACGATCATAATGAAACACTGTCAACTGTATACAATCGTTAAATGGTTAATATTTTAATTTTTATGAATGAGAATATAAAAAGGATCATATAGGAGAAACAGAAAGGAAGAGAGGGGAAAAAGACGAGAAAAAAACCGCTTGAAATATTGTATTTATATATATATATATATATTCTACTTACATTTAATATAATGCTATAGCCATAGGTAAATGAAACGGCATAGAAGAGAAAATGCCATCTGAAAGATATGTATGGACGATTCACGTAATTATTATATTAAATAAAGGTAAATAAAGAATATATTCATAAATTTCATAAACACTTTTGCAAGAAATGGATACAATAATAATATCGTTTTATTCCTCCAATATTGAAGAGCATAATAATAATGTTATTTTTTAAAAGATTTCTTTCATGATTTTATACTGTAAGTTTTCAGTTTCGAAAATCTTGATAAAAAAACTAAATGGACTTCATGTATATTATTAGTTATAAAGATCGTTGGCAGGTTATATGGCCCTATATAAACGGCTATTTGTAAATATAACCCGAGCCGTTAGGCGAGGGTTATATTGCAAACAGCCGTTTATATACGGCCATATAACCTGTCAACAATCTTTATAACGAATTTATAATACAGCAAGCATCATTTTTAGCGAAAAAAAGTAAGATTACTTTAGGAATCGACAGCAGCCGTGTATATAAAACTATATAAACGTCACGATTATCCAATGAAAAATGACGTTACAAACGTGCAGTATTATAAATATACATGTACTGCATAAGCTACGTCCACAAAACACGGTGGGCCAGTTTCTAAATCAAGTTATTCTTCCCTGCTACTAGTATTTCAGAAATATGCAACAAATAAAATCCATTATGACAGAAGACCATGAATATATATTTGTAAGTTACGTGCTAAGACAAAATTTAGTAAGTTGAACTTTTCAAAGATACATATAATTTTTATATACTTTTGTACAGAATAGAACAGATGAGAACAAAATCTTTATTTGTAGATTTGAGCTCTACGCTCCTCGTCGTTATAAATACAATACATATAATACAAAAGTCAAATTAATTATAGCATGAATACAGAGAGAGAGATATAAATAAATTTTGTTAATAACATTTTATGTGTAACAAAAACCAATGTAAGTCATAAGTACTTATTTCTCTGACAATTTCTGAATATAACGTATTTAAGTGTTTTTTTAACAAATATCTCTAATGAACGTTATACAAACACAAAATGATGTGATTTTTAAAGCATGCTAATTTGTTTAAAATGCATGTACATGTATCAGTTACGGAAGTTGACGAAAATGTCCGGATATATCCGGGGATGTTAAAGAATAATTATACACACAAATTGTAATGTTTTTTCTCTGATTTATATCCAAAGTAAAGTTATATTATACAAATAAATTATAAGAAACAATACAATACAGAAATATTATCTTTAATTTGACAATAAATTCAATTTTATATCGCGTATTAAGACATAATTGCACCGAGAACATCTTCTAATACTTTTCACGTAATTACTTTTACTGAGTTTTATTGACATAGTATGAGCCGCGTCACGACAAAACCAACATAGATGGTTTGCGACCAGCATGGATCCAGACCAGCCTGCGCATCCGCGCAGTCTGATCAGGATCCATGCTGTTCGCTTACAAACTCTATAACCAGTAAAGAAACTGGTAGCGAACAGCATGGATCCTGATAAGACTGCGCGGATGCGCCGGCTGGTCTGGATCCATGCTGGTCACAAACGCACTATGTTGGTTTTGTCGTGACACGGCTAGTATAGATTTTCTACTTCTAGATTGAATTAAACAGTCAAATATCTAGATTCACCGAAAATAGATCTTCCTTACAAACAAATTTAATGCTTCAAATCTAAAAAAAAAAAGTTTCTAATCGTATAAATACTAATAATTGATTGATAAGTTCCAGCGGTAGGTATTGAAAAAAAACCACAGTATTCTACTGTTTACTTTCTCAGGCATATGTAAACAATTATCTATATTTAGATGTCTGAAATTCATTTGAAAAATACCACCTGAATCTATGTTTTCATGTAACATGTAATTAAAGAAGATACTGAAGTTACTGTTTGCAGATGTTTGCTCGACAAAGGTTCGTGTTCAAGTTGTCAAATGCCGTTAACGCCCCCTTTTATACAATTATCAATTTAATAATGGGTCTTGGGTCACAAATATTTGCATAAAACTGTTTAATTTAGGCATCCCTCGTGTTAAAGCTATTAAAAAGACAAGAAAAATACTTAAAATACATTTTATAAATTATACAAATCTAACTTATGCGAAAAAAAATCCCATGAAAGAAATATCGAAAATCGTAGAATTTTGCGAAAGGATAATGAAAGCGCGGGATGCCACATTTTGTGATCTTCATTTCGTTCATAATGTTATATAACTCGTTTAAAAACGTGTAAACTTAAAATCTTTTTAAGGTAAATTTGCTACATATCTCCCTCGCAAAACTTACAACACAATACGGTAAATTAAAAAAAAAATAAAGCAATGAAAATAGATATTTTATTAATCTAATATAACGTTTTTAAATATCAGCGATAGTAATGTCCACATTGAAATATCGAGTTGATTAATGAAATATATTTTACATGTCTAAAATTTGTGCGTGCGTATATTTCAATATATGTTTTATAAACAATTTAAGTACTACATACCCGCTGTCACAGAATTTTTGTAAAGTTGTATGAGAATCTATTTTCTTTCTATTTCTAAACCAAACCTCAATCTGTCTCCTGTTCAAATCTGTTTGCTTTGATAATACCTGAAAAATATAGATATATATCTCACTGTCACTACATTCCCTGTAAATTATAGATAATATATCTTATTTTTACTTCAATACCTGTGAAATATATTCCCTGTAACGCATTAAATACAGTTTTATCAAAACGAACGCAACAGACACAGTATTATCAACACGAAAGGAATAGCAAAGTTTTATCAACACGAAAGGAATAGACATAATTTTTATCAACACGAAAGCATTATACATAGTTTTTATCAACACGAAAGCATTAGACATATTTTCATCAACACGAACGCATTAGACATATTTTTTTATCAACAGGAACGCATTAGACACAGATTTACCAACACGGACGCATTAGACACAGATTTATCAACACGAACGCATTATATATAGTTTTAGTTTTATCAACATGAACGCATTCGACACAAATTTATCAACACGAACGCATTAGATATAGTTTTAGTTTTATCAACACGAACGCTTAAGACAAAGTTTTATAACATGAACGCAAAAGACACACTTTTATCAAAATGAACGCATTAGACACACTTTTCTCAACACGAACGCATTAGACACAGTTTTATCAACAAGAACGCATTAGACACAGATTTATCAACACGAACGCATTAGATTATATGTTATTTTGGTTTTGGAGTGATATATGTGAATATATTACCTGCTAAGATTTTATATCACCCGAGCCGTTAGGCGAGGGTGATATTTTATCTTGGCAGGTAATATATCCACATATATCACTCCAAAACCAAAATAATAATTTTATTACCCTTCCCCTGCCGAGTTTAGACGATTTTTAAAAAAATCATTGCTGTTTCAAATGAAACGTCGAAATAAGATTCCCTTAGGGTACCTCTTCGTCACAACATGACGTCACATAAATACATGACGTATTTTTCCCGTCCTAACGAATGTAAACAAGAGAAAACGAGTAGTCTATTGAACGCACTTTTTTGTAATTAATATCAAGCTTTCACAGGGTCATATTTGTTTTCGATACTAATGGTAATATGTATCATTACTCTACGTTGGTAAATATTTATCATTTGACAGTTAAAAAGTGCTTGTAAATCGGAATTTACATCGCGTAAAATCGAACCGTACGCGCATCACTTCAGCGCATGTTGTTTAGAACGTTGGGTACCCAACGGGGAAATTTAGTGTGTATATTACCCGTCTGGCTCGGTTATATCAATTTCTTTCGGGTGATCAATATCCAATCAAAAAGGCGGAAAAAATCTGGAAGGGTAATAAACAGTTCTATCAACACGGACACATTAGACACAGTTTTATCAACACTGACGCATTAGACACAGATTTATCAACATGAACGCATTAGATACAATTTTATCAACAGGAACGCATTATACACAGTTTTATCAACACGAATGCATTAAACACGGTTTTATCAACACGAATGCATTAGTCAGTTTTATTAACACAACTGTATAGTACATAGTTTTATCAACAAAAACGCAATACACATATGCATTAGAACACGGACTTTGTGATTAGACCAAAATCTATCAAAACGAACGCATTATTCACAATATTATCGACACGGACGCATTCGACACTGTTTTATCAACACAATCGCATTAAACAAAGTGTTATCAACACGAACGCATTAGATACAGTTTTAATAACACAAACGCAATCGACACAGTTTTATTTAGAACAAATTAGAAATCAACACCATGGCGGACAAAGTTAATGCGTGTTAAAAACCTCCCAACATGAACAAACAACACCATTAATGACTTTAGACATTCATTTCTGACTTTAGACATTCATTTCTGACTTTAGACATTCATTTCTGACTTTAGACATTCGGTAAATTAAGTAGACTTAATACCAACCCTGCTGTTAACATAGAACATTGCCTTGTGAACTTTGTAAATAATTCCTGTCATGACTATATTTGTAAATGAGTCTGATAAACGCAGGAAAACATCGAAACTGAGTTATGATAAAGAGCTCGGTTAGACAACATCTTTGGTCTTTTCACTCTTTCTAATCATTATAGCCCCTCAAGGGAAAATTGTTGAATACTTTGCAAAATAGGGATATATCTCCGAAGAGGAACAATATCAAAAGCAATCAACGTTAAATTGCTGACTTGAAAAAAGATTAATGAGACGCTTTTACCGTAATCATTGCCATAAGGTAGTATTTCATTTTCTATATGTAATATTTGTGATGAAGGATGCTGAAGTATATCAGAAGAACAACAAAGATTACAGAATACCTAGTCTGCCTATAGCAATTATCGTTATAAATGAACATTTGAAACACCAGTTCGTTATGATAAAAGAAATCACGGAGACGACATTCAAGCAGCACGGAAATCACGAAAATGACATTCACGTTGACGATGTAAAATATCATGGAAACGACGTAAACGACATCACGGAAACGACGCATATCATTCCACGACGACAATGTTAAAGACAGTACGGAGACGACGTAAACGATATCATGGAGACGACGTAAATATCACGGAGTCGACGTAAACAACATCATGGAGACGACGTAAGCGACATCACAGACACGACGTAAAAGGTATCTGTTAAAGGCGACACAGAGACGACGTAAATTACATCACGAAGACGACGTAAAACGTCATGGAGACGACGTAAATGACATCATGGATACAACGTTATTCACATAACGGAGACGACGTAAAAGGCAACACGGAGACGACGTAAATGACATAACGGAGTCGACATAAACGACATCATAGAGACGACGTTAAACATTTTACGTTGAGGTCGCATGAGTATATTCAGTTACCGACATCAGGCTTAAGGCTTTAAAACATTTAAAATCAACATATTTCTTTAAGATGAAGAAGATTTACGCGTGTTTTGAAAGCGACTTATAATACACACAAAGAATGTATTAAAATTTATACATACAATAGATTTTTCGTAAATCTTTAAACTTCGAACCCCTTTGTGTACTTAATAACTATTAGTACATTTGTATAAGTAGGTATTCAACATGTTATTCGAAGGTCAATCCTATCTGTGAAGGTCACTTTAAAAACTAAAATAATGTTTTATGTTTACAAACATGTAAAATTACTGGTATAAAAGTGAATCCTGTTTTTGTTAAATTACTGGTATGAAAGTGAATCCTGTTTTTGTTAAATTACTGGTATAAAAGTGAATCCTGTTTTTGTTAAATTACTGGTATAAAAGTGAATCCTGTTTTTGTTTATCACTTTTCAGAGGAACAATAAAATGTTGACTTAATTAATTAGTATCTATAGTGTGTTGATAACTTTTATTATATTCTAACATTCTTCGGTAAAGCAAAAAGTACCATAAGCGATCAATAGAAGAATTGCCTGCATGCATAGTTTTGATGACTGACCAGACCTTATTACACTCTAAATTACGAAAGACCGGTGGGGACATTTCAATTTCATGACTCACGTTTTCAACACCTATTCACGATTTGAACTTCATGAATTCACGATTTCAACTTCGCAATTGTTTTGAGCTTTACGATTTCAACATCACGATATCATGATTTCAACTTCACGAATTCACGATCGTCACCACCGGTCATTCGTAGTTGACTACTTAGTTTCCAATACTTTCAATCTTGACAAAACCATTCATCATTATTTTTATAAAGTATTTTAATGTAAGTAGTGCCTGGATACCGAACCAGATCATATCATACCGGTAATCATATTGTACGAAAGTGACGGCTAATTTTTAGTCTTCACAGTGCGCATGCGTATATTAAGTCAGGTGTAAAGGTTAAAATCCCTTTTACGTGATTACGGACAGTTCTAATTATACATTTATGTCCTCGTGCTTAACAGATTGTGGCTTAACAGCGAACATGGTTCACGTATATATATATGGCAAATTGATATTTCATAAATATGGTATCATATTTTATTACTCTCAAATGAGCTTTATATTGCAGGTTTACAATTTCATTAAAACGTGAAATATTAATACATTTTCACATGCATGAAACAAATTATACGTCTAACAAGTTCTAATGGTGATAAAACTAATTTGTGAATAACTATTACATTTAAGCAGCAAGCCTCCAGATTCATACTGCTTTTCATTAAAAAATTAAAATATATTAAAAAATAAAATAATGTCAAATGAACAAATAAAGTAATTAACAAAGCAAACGACACTTTAAATCTAAAAAAACATTGGTCAGAATATGCAAAAATAGCGTTTACTGCGTTAGTCACGCAGTAGAAACTGCGTTAGTCACACAGTACAAATATGCTGATAAATCCTGTAAAATTAGTCATGAATTCCATATAATGTTTAAACAATTTCCTGAATTGTGAATATTATAACTTTTCATACATTTTTCTCAAGGTTATTTTTCTTGAAATGTTTTTTTCTCATCTGGAGGCATGCAACTTTCAATGTCATCACTTCGAAGTTTTACTCAGACACTTTTCAAGTTTCGTGCTTTTTATTTCAATCCATTTTTGGGGTATTTTATTATCCACGCAAGCAGATGAGGGTTTAAGCCTCAGACATATCTATACCAATAGGACCACGCTTGTATGTCAACCGAGGACCTGGGAATAAAGTTTGTGTCTCCGGGTCTAAATCAAACAGTCAATCGGACCGATCATACTAAAATATTATAAAACATAGATAGAAAAAGAATTTCCCCATTTTACGCGCTCTACACAACGCAGATAGCTGAAGCATTGAACGTTTGTGAGACTGTGAAATTAATTTGGAGCATTGCTAGAACAAGGTACCTATACCACGTGACTTTTCTGTGAATCAGCGTGGGTGGAAAACCACTCGTTCTAACTAATGTGTAACCAATACATGTACATAGAATTACTTTGGAGAAAAAATCAGTACTTATTTTTCCCCCGTTAGGTGAAACCATTCTTTCAGGAATTCTATTGTTGAAAAGAGAAAAATAAAGAGGAAATGACATTCAAATATACCTCAATATCAACTGGCTTCTTTTTTGTCCGTCTGTACGCAGCTTCTAGAACCGGGTTGGGTACCAATACTGGTTTACGACGTTCCTGTATACCAAGTTTGATTGTCAATGGTCGTAAAAGTATTCTGAAAATATTCAAATTAAACAATCAATTCTTAGTATGGTGATGATGATGATGGCAGAGGTGATGATGATGATTATTATTATTATCATTATCATTATTATTATTATCATTATTATTATTATTAGTATCATTATTATTATCAGTATCATTATTATTATTATTATCATTATTATTATTATTATTATTATTATTATGTAAACTAAATCCGTCAATATCTTTCATAGAAATACTTGTATACAAGAAAATTCATAATTTCAATATTTTCTACATAACACTATCTCTTAGAGTATTCGGGGTATATATTTATGTAACAGGACGTTGTCTTTTTTTTAAGTACATTGAGCGCCTTACCAGTTATGAATTACCATTGCCGTTGATAAATTATAACACCCTTATCATGACGTAATAAATACTCAATCATAAAATGCTTAAAATTGCGCATTTGGTTAAATACATAAGGAAGTATTGACTTATATAATAAAACACATCGTTAAGATAAGATAAAAAAAAACACACCTTTGTTAACAAAACCAGCACGGGTAAACAAGTTTGAGAGTGAAAGATTAAATACTTTAACAGTTAAAACAATATGTTCAACGAGTACAAGTGAATTTACCATACAATTCAGCAGCTTTGAAACATATAACTTACATGTATTATTCTAAAGTACATTTAAAATAGGAGAAAAATCCAAATAGGAGTGGAATACATTACCAAATTGGCAATATGCCAAAATTGTAGAAAAAATATATAATCACAAAAAATAACCAACAAGTGCATTAATAAAAACTGTAGACCACCGAGACATAAAACAATCCAAAATTTAACCTCAACTACCAGCACACGCCAATATCGTTTGACAACATGAAGTAAGGAAAGACAATATAATCTAGTGACGAAGCCGGGATCTGACGGTTTTTAGACACATCAATTGTATACGGTGCATTAGCGAGATTAACCGACTGGTTCATTTGTGTTTAGTGGCTATTTCATTAGCTGGAAATTCAGGGAATATAGTCCAGAAATAGTACGGCGCTCTTTTTATCAATATAATAACCAATGTTTGAAAGCGCAACATGTCTAACATTGTCTGATCTATATTGGTAGGTGTATGAAGTAACACTTACATGGGCTTATTCACCAGTGTAACACTGGCATAAGCCAGTTCATGTGACAATACTAGCATGGGCAATATTCATGTGGTAACATTAGCAAGGGCATATTCGTGCGGTAATATGTAACACTAGCATGGACATATTCATGTGGTAACACTAGCAAGGGCATATTCATGTGGTAGTATGTTATACTAGCATGGGCATGTTCATGGGGTAACATTAGCAAGGGCATATTTATGTGGTAGTATGTAACACTAGCATGGGTATGTTCATGGGGTAACATTAGCAAGGGCATATTCATGTGATAATATGTAACACTAGCATGGGCATATTCATGGGGTAACACTAGCATGGGCATATTCATGTGATAGTATGTAACACTAGCAAGGACATATTCATGTGGTAATATGTAACACTAGCATGGGCATATTCATGTAATAATATGTAACACTAGCATGGGCATATTCATGTGGTAATATGTAACACTAGCAAGGGCATATTCATGTGGTAATATGTAACACTAGCATGGGCATATTCATGTGGTAACACTAGCAAGGGTATATTCATGTGGTAGTATGTAATACTAGCATGGGCATATTCATGTGGTTACACTAGAATGGACATGTTCATGGGGTAACATTAGCAAGGGCATATTTATGTGGTAGTATTTAACACTAGCATGGGCATATTCATGGGGTAACACTAGCATGGGCATATTCATGTGGTAATATGTAACACTAGCATGGGCATATTCATGTGGTAACACTATCAAGGGCATATTCATGTGGTAATATGTAACGCTAGCATGGGCATATTCATCTGATAATATGTAAATCTAGCATGGGCATGTTTATGTGGTAACACTAGCATGGGCATATTCATGGGGTAACACTAGCATGGGCATATTCATGTGGTAGTGTGTAATACTAGCATGGGCATATTCATGTGGTAACACTAGCAAGGGCATATTCATGTGGTAATATGTAACACTAGCAAGGGCATATTCATGCGGTAATATGTAACACTAGCAAGGGCATTATTCATGTGGTAATATGTAACACTAGCATGGGCATATTCATGTGGTAATATGTAACACTAGCAAGGGCATATTCATGTGGTAATATGTAACACTAGCAAGGGCATTATTCATGTGGTAATATGTAACACTAGCATGGGCATATTCATGTGGTAATATGTAACACTAGCAAGGGCATTATTCATGTGGTAATATGTAACACTAGCATGGGCATATTCATGTGGTAACACTATCAAGGGCATTATTCATGTGGTAATATGTAACACTAGCATGGGCATATTCATCTGATCATATGTAAATCTAGCATGGGCATGTTTATGTGGTAACACTAGCACGGGCATGTTCATGTGGTAATATGTAACACTAGCATGGGCATATTCATGTAATAATATGTAACACCAGTATGACATATTCATGTGGTAACACTAGCATGGGCATATTCATGTGATAATATGTAACACTAGCATGGGCATATTCATGTGATAATATGTAACACTAGCAAGGGCATATTCATGTAATAATATGTAACACTAGCATGGGCATGTTCATGTGGTAACACTAGCATGGGCATATTCATGTGATAATATGTAACACTAGCAATGGCATTTTTATGTGATAATATGTAACACTAGCAAGGGCATATTCATGTGATAATATGTAACACTAGCAAGGGCATTTTCATGTGATAATATGTAACACTAGCATGGGCATATTCATGTGATAATATGTAACACTAGCAAGGGCATTTTCATGTGATAATATGTAACTCTAGCATGGGCATGTTCATGTGAAAATATGTAACACTAACAAGGGCATATTCATGTGATAATATGTAACATGTTCATGTGGTAACACTAGCATCGGCATATTTATGAGGTAACATTAGCACCTGCATATCTGAAAAGACTAACATTAGTTTGTTCAAGTGGTAACACTATCTTTGCCATATTCAAGCGGCAACATTAGCATTGGCTTGTTTAAATCGGAACATTACCATTCGTTTGTCCATACGGTTCATGTCGTAACACAAACATTGGTTTGTTTATATGGTTACACTACAATTGGTTTGTTCATGCGGTTCATGTGGTAACACAAGCATTGGCTTGTTTATATGGTTATATAGCATTTGCCTGTTCATGTAGTTACCTATAGCATTGGCTTGTTTATATGGTTATCTAGCATTGGCTTGTTAATGTGGCTATCTATAGCATTGGCTTGTTAATGTGGTTATCTATAGCATTTGCTTGTTAATGTGGTTATCTAGCATTGGCTTGTTAATGTGGTTATCTTTATCATTTGCTTGTTAATGTGGTTATCTAGCATTGGCTTCTTCATGTGGTTACCTCTAGCATTGGCTTGTTCATGTGGTTACCTAAAGCATTTGCTTGTTAATGTGGTTATCTAGCATTGGCTTGTTCATGTGGTTTTCTAGCATTTGCTTCTTCATGTGGTTATCTAGCATTGGCTTGTTCATGTGGTTACCTATAGCATTTGCTTGTTCATGTGGTTAGCTAGCATTGGCTTGTTCTTGTTCATGCGGTTATCTTTAGCATTGGCTTGTTTATGTGGTTATCTAGCATTGGCTTGTACATGTGATTATCTTAAGCATTGGCTTGTTCATGTGGTTATCTAGCATTGGCTTGTACATGTGGTTACCTATAGCATTTGCTTGTTCATGTGGTTAGCTAGCATTGGCTTGTTCTTGTTCATGCGGTTATCTTTAGCATTTGCTTGTTAATGTGGTTATCTAGCATTGGCTTGTTCATGTGGTTTTCTAGCATTTGCTTCTTCATGTGGTTATCTAGCATTGGCTTGTTCATGTGGTTACCTATAGCATTTGCTTGTTCATGTGGTTAGCTAGCATTGGCTTGTTCTTGTTCATGCGGTTATCTTTAGCATTGGCTTGTTCATGTGGTTATCTAGCATTGGCTTGTTCATGTGGTTACCTAGCATTGGCTTGTTCATGTGGTTATGTAGCATTGGCTTGTTTATGTGGTTGCCAATAACATTGGCTTGTTCATGTGGTTATCTATAACATTGGCTTGTTCATGTGGTTATCTATAGCATTGGCTTGTACATGTGGTAAGAACATTCTTTATTTAAGTTGTATGTATTATTTTAACGTATTTCATCAGGTATCTATTCAGTTTCATGAAGTTCGTATTAATAAATATTTGCACATAATTTGGGGACATTTCTGTTGAAAATGTGTCAGAGTTAAATCGTATACATATACATGCACAGTGCGTTAACTTGAGTGCAGGTATTAGTTAACCGCACTCCAGAGCATGCCCATTGGCTCATTTTTGCTGGGGTTTACATATTGTGACGGAAGAGAAGGGGAAAGCGACAGAAATATCATATTCAGACGTTCGTTCATTGGTTCCTTTTTGCCAGGGTTTCATATTGTTTGACTTTGCAACAATAGAGAAAGAACATCAAAACACTTGGCAATCTGATTAATACTCGCTACGCCCCCCCCCCACCCCCTCGTACAAATCAGATAGACTCGTGTTTCGATGCTCTTTCTATTACTTAAAGTCGGGTTAAATGAGGGATACATCTTCTAACAAGTACTTTTGTTATCAATTTTGAGTGCTTGATAAGGTCCGTAAACTATTGTATAATAAACCCCTTACCTACGACTTTTGGGAGAAGTTATGAAATACAAAACCTTTTAATAATGATAAAAACATAACTATTCTATATCTTTTTGATATTCAGTGTCAATAAAATTTGATAATATCAATAATTTGTGGGTTTTATTTTTTTTTAATAGAAATGTAAGTTAACTTTATTATCTATTTACAATGACAGCTTGTACCAAATCGATCATGCAACCCTAAAGCA